AACTGTCTCTTGTTTACTCAGATTTCATTCATCTCCCTCCCATTTATCCCCTGCCATGGCCTACTATGTTGCCTCTTGGCCGCCTTACGGCCACGATGACTTGCGGCCACATTGCCTTAGTACCAACCGCCGCCTTTTGGCCAGAGTCAATACTCGTTTGTTTTGAGAATGCCTTTATTTCCACGCTGGTACCGGTAGCAGCCCGCGTTGCTTCTTCTTTCCGGATTGTGGCCACTATCGCTGGCCCACATGCAACATTGTTGTGCTCGCCCGACCCAAACTGCCTGTGCATGCTCCGAGCCCGTTCCTACTATTGCGCCTCTGTTTACACACACACATACCCCTATCACTGTTTACTCTCACCGTTGTGTCCTGTGATAGCTGCACACTTTGTCCACTCTCTTTTCCTCTCTATGAATGTTTATTTTCATAGATGCGTTCCTGAAAAAAAAAGACCGCGCGTATTTGGGTCCTGTTGCACAATCGCCCATCACCGAGTGCCTTGTCGATCTTCCTGTCGCCGTTGGCAACATGGTGCAGCTCCTTTTCCCTTCTTTCAGGCATGTGGAAGAGCAAATCTCTCTCACCCACTGGACCACGCAAACCACTACTCCCAAACGGTCCCAGACTCATCCCAGACCACCTATTTTTAGATCCCACACACCCCTCCTTTCTGCTTGGGTATGTTTGTTGGCTGTTGAGGACTAACTGGCCCCACACTGGCTCATTGCTTCTCATACAATTCTTCGCCAGCGCCAAAACACCAGTGTCACACCAGCGTAGATCAGCATGCAGGCCAGGACAACAAAAAAGTTCAGTGTGTCATCACGGTCCTGCCCCGGAATCTTGAGGTTGACTCCTAGTAGGCTGGTCAGTATGTTGATGGGCATGACGATAGTGCCTAGCATGGCCCAGCGCTCCGCTGTTGCGTTAGAGTCGGATGTGGCCCGTGACAGCTCCAGCGATATCTTGGCCAGGTAGTTTGAGTGTGACCTGGCCAGCACTGCCTCTGCACGCGAGCAGGCGTCGATCGCTGCCAGCAGATGCTCGTGTGTGTCGCCCAGATATTGCACTACCTCTGCTGCCAGCAAGGACTGGTCCTGTCCCACCTCCAGGCTGCTGCTACCCGACAGCGCCCGCGCCAGTGCCGCTACCACCTTGGGCTTCCGCTGGGCCTGCTGCCAGGTATGCAGGATCCGCCGTCGCTGCTCCCCCATCTGCCGCAGCATGCTTTCGTGCTCCGCGTGCGACAGGATGAGCACCAGCTCGTCGATCGCGTCCACCTGCTGCTCCATCTTGGCAATCTCGGGCCCCAGCCTATCGGTGATCGCGTCCAGTACCGCGTATACGATATAGGCCGGGTAGTGTGCCAGCTCCGCTAGCGACACGTCGGCCTCGTCCTTGTCTGGACTAGCCTGCTTGTCAAGGCCATCGGCTGCTGCCGCTGCGTCTATAGCTTCCAACCGTCGCAGCACCCCGGCTACCACCTCGTGCTGGCCGCCATGAACAGTGAGCACAAAGCCGCGTTTCATTACAATGCATATCTGGTCTGCGCCAACCCCATCGCCCTCGTCGTCACTGCTGTTGCTATCTGGATCTGGCGCATCCATGCACCCTGTTGGAGTATAGTGCGCCGAATGACTCTTGCGGTCCACAGCTGGGCGAATACTGCTGTTTGCTCGGCAGTAGCTGTAGTAGTGTCGCCATTTGCTACGTCTGCGACTGGTGGCGGCGGTGCGAAAGACAATGGACACGTAATCCCCAAAGAAGTCGATCTTGTCCCGGCTGCATTGCTGGGCAATGTCCTCGGACGTCAGTGGGTGGAGCCCCAGGATCTCGCCCAGTTCATGGAGATCGGCCTCGGTGGCCCCGCCCACATCAAGCCAGAACGTGTTCTGGTCGGGACGGTCTGCTGCCTGCGCATCCCTGGCGGCGCGCTCCAGGTCGATCCCACGGCTGGCCAGGCCCGACAGCGACGGCGCGGTGACTGCGCCGCTACGGGCCGAGTAGAAAAGAAGCCGGTCGGCTCGGCGGCCGGCGCCTGGCTTCTCCGCGCAGCCGGCGTCGGCCAGCTGCGCGGCGTGGCCCTGCCGCAGCACATGCAGGCTTTCGGCCGGCGTTGGGCTGCTGGCATTGTGCATCCACAATACCGACGACTCTCGCACATGCCCAGAGTTTCCGCCACCGTCTGTCGCTGGTGGCGTCACGGTTGTGTGCAAATTAACGGCTATTGTTTCTGCCGTCGCTGCAGCCGCCGTGTGCAGTGCGCCTGTTGAGCTTGTGGCCATAACCGGGCTGCTGTTGTTGGTAGCAGACTCTATGTCAATTGTGCCGGCTTTGCCTAGCCGGATTGAGGAGTTGGTTGCAGAGTACAGCGATGGTGTCATGGCCTCTGTGCCAAGGCTGCTGTCGCGTCCCGTGGCCGCAATGCTCTGGAGAATCCTGCTGCGCCTTTCTCTTGGCAGCGATGCGCGGGGGCGTGGCTGTACGTACCACGAGTCCGTGTCGACAAGGCTACTTCGCACACCAGCTGACAGAACCGAGTATCTATCTGCACAGTAGTGCCCAGGCGTGTCTCTTTTGCAGTGCTCTGCCGAGTCCAGCAGCGCCTGGGACAATCGCTGGGGCGGTGTGCTGGCAGACAATGGGCGCGCAGAATCCCACGGCTGCGATATTGCCGGAATCACGGCAGAGGAAAGGCGGGTGCTCTGCCAGCGTGCTGGGTCCTGGATGGGGCTCGTGGGAGCAGGAAGCAGCACATCATATGGTGGCGTGTCTTGGGAGCTATTGTCCATGTGGTGCAAATTATACGCCATTGCAGGCCACAGCAGGGTTGTCTGGCTGGCGGGTGAGAGCTCCGCGTGACGCTGCTGCTGCTGCTGCTGCTGCTGCTCGGCTGTCAGAGTACCAAGAACACTTCCGCTACCAGGTGATTCCGGAACTCTACCATTGTGTGGCAAGCGATGTGGTTCTATAGGCCCCGCCGTCTCCCCTGTCCATGCGGATGAGCGACTTGAGTCAGCTGCTGCGCCTTGGCAACATGCCTGTGCTGCCAGCCGCCGTCGAAAAAGCGGCGGTGTGCTTTTGAAGTATGGTTGTCGTCGTTGATGCACCCGGCCCACACCCATTCTAACCGTTGGCTCCCTTCAACTTCTCTAGCAAGCCGTTTTTTTTTTCAGAGGTGAGAAACTAGAAAAGAAGTAAGCAGCCTTTGCACCCTCCACCCACTTGCTCATGTGCCCCCCCTCCTATGGGCCTCCCCCCGCATAGGGTGGTTCTGGGAGGAAGGTAGCGGAATGCCGACCAAGCATCTTTCCTCATCGTCATGTCAGTAGTGTTTCCCCTTCCGCCTTGCTGCCGCTACTGTGTGGCACGCCGTAACCAAACACTTCTTATTGGCCTCCCCATATATAGGAGCCTATACGCCAGTAGCTTTTTTTTAGTTTTGTGGGTTTATCGTGGCTGGAGGATGCAGTTCCCTGGCACCCGCCATCTCTGAAATGGCCAATAATAATAATAAATTCTGCAACAGGGTTCTCAATGTCCGTGTACAACCCCTCATTCTTGCAGACAGGTTTGCTTGTGGTCTGCGGCATGCGCTCCAGAACCCATCTGCCACCATAATCTAACAAGCATAGAGCGGTACTTGCTCTACTCTTTGCCCTGGAAATAAGAAAAAGGGTCACCTTTTGCTGCTGGGTGACGTGGAACCGTGTCACGCATCCATTAAGCTCACGAGAGCAGCGTGTCCGTGCAATGTAATCAGAAATCTTGATAATTGCCCATTGACGACTGCCCCCAAAAGAACCTATGTGGGCCGACAAGACACGTACGACAAGAAACAAGCATGACTATAATTGTCTGCGTAGTTTTTTGTCTTTCCATATATCTCTTTAGTACCAGGCCACAAAAAAAGGGGGACAGACACTACCATCGATGCCTTGCTTACGACTTGCAGGTGTGCAAAAAAGAGTAGCGCCTTTCTGCACACGTAACAGCCGGCTAAGCTGCATTCTGCTGACATCACAACCGCATCTCGGCATTTGTTTTTCCTTTGTTTTTCCTTTGTTGCTTTGTTTGTATGCCAGCTGTACAGCAAGTGAAAAGACATCTGTTTGGGGCAAAAAATAGGCATCTGCAGCAATGTGGAGTGGGAGGGGTTTGGGTGGGGACTGTCAACCTGGCTGGAAGAATATACTGGAAATCCCAGCATGCGCACTTGCACTGCACATTCCCCCCCACCACACAATGCATCTGTGGTCATGTTACTCACACAGCCCCGGATTGGAGACCTGCGCAATGCGAGGTACGGGCGATACGTGTGTCATAAATGGCAAGCCAAGCAAATCTTCCCCCTGCAGCAATAATTGCATTGGCGTATAAAGGAAGGGAATCTGCCACCTACCACCACAGCCCGCAACACTGCAACGCAGCTGAGGCAGGATTTTCAGGTTACTTTTCTCTTTCCAGTCGGCACACAAACTCCTCGACTACACCAGGCCACATTTTCTTTATCTCCTGGGGATTGCGTCTCGTCCTTGTATCCATTGCCATTCTAAAAAAAGTAGACTACAGCCGCCGCACGACTACGGGACTTGGTAGCATACTCGCCTGGTTAGATTTACAAACCTCTCCCAACCACCAGATGGGCTACCACAAAAACTGCGCAAATTCAGTGCCGGCACTCCGCCTGCACAACGATGAATACAACGGCCTTGTCTGCACCCTCTGTGGCGACAGGTTGATTGGCAAGCAGACCCTCGCCTCGCACGTCTGCGTATTCTTCCCCATTGACATGTAGCCTATCCACCTTTGGTTGTGTTGGAATAAACCGAGAGTTGCAGCTATTCCTGACCAATTTCTTGATGTGGCTACAGACAGGAGCTTGCATTGCTTGTCAGCATGCAATCAAAGCTTGGCGGGCCTTTGTAGCCAAATATCTCTGCCCCCCCCCCGCCAAAGCAAAAAGGGAATGGTCGCTTTCAGAGGGAAAGCGTGCTTGCTGCTGCCTGTAATCGAACCAGGGCTATGGCGCCCACAACGCCATGTGCTAACCATTACACCACAGCAGCCGTTTATTCAGACCACAGGGGCCATGTTGGTTGTTGCAGACCGATCACGCCCCGACCCCCTTCACTATCCCATTATACAAAGACCCAGCGCAGAAAAGGTATAGGTAGGGAGTGTTCCAGCTCCGTTGTCTGGCTTTCTTTTTTTTCTTGAAGCGTGTGCCTTCTTTTTTTTTTAAATTCTACAGACAGACCTGGGGACTTTGAGCAATGTTGTATATTCCGTTCTTTAGCCGCCTGAGCATCTCCGAGTACCAGGGCATGCTGATAGCAGCTCTGTTCTTCGTTGTGGAGAAGGTGCTGCGGGTCTTTCTGCTCGTATTCCCGGTCGAGTATGTCATGGACTACCTCCCAGAGTGGATATTCACTTGGTTCAAGGTGCCGCACATATTTGGCAGCGACAGAGATGCCCAGAGCGCGCTGCTGGACGACTTTAACTCCTTTGCCGAGATCATGGACTACTGGGGGTACCCGCATGAAGACCATCTGGTCGAGACCCGCGACGGGTTTGTGCTTGGCATTCACCGAATAACTGGCAGGCGCAACTCACCGGCATCGACCCCGCTGCCGACGGACAGCGATAGCGCTGCCAAGCCCGTAGTGCTGTTTTGGCATGGGTTTATGCTCAGCTCAGAGTGTTTTGTGTGCCACCCGGACTGGATCAACATTCTGCCGTTCCGCCTGGCTGAGGCCGGGTACGACGTGTGGTTGGGGAACTCGCGCGGAAACAAGTACTCGTACAGACATTCAAAGTACACGCCAGACGACCGGCGTTTCTGGAACTACTCGATTGACGAGATAGCAGGGATCGACGTGCCGACGACGGTGGACTATATACTGGAGGAGACGGGAGCAACGTCGCTGGCTTATATTGGCTTTAGCCAGGGAACAACGCAGATGTTTATGGCGCTGTCGCGTAACAAGGGCCTCAACAAAAAGGTCAGTCATTTCATTGCATTGGCGCCGGCCTCGACACCACGTGGATTCCACAACAGTATCGTCGACTACTTTACCAAGGCCACACCGCAAATGCTGTATCTCTTGTTTGGGCGGCGACGTGCCATGTCGCTGGTGTACTTTTGGATCAACCTGCTGCCGCGCGACTTGTATGTGGCGGCGTTGGACTTTTGTGTCAATCTGCTGTTTGGGTGGACGATGGGCAACATGTCGCAGGAGACAAAGTGTATTGTGTACTGGCATCTGTACTCGTATACCAGCGTAAAGTCCATTGTGCATTGGATGCAGATCATTCGTCGGGGAGAGCTGCAAATGTATGATGAGGATCCGCCCACCTGTCAGCTGCTTTGGGCACCGACTTCATCGCCCCGGTGCGCGTGGTTGTCGAGTGAGGCAGACGAGGCGGCGATCCGGTCGGCGCGGCTGTCGGCGGCGAGCCCTCACAGACCCAGGCTGGATCTGCATCGGCATTCGCGGCCGGCACGTCTGCCCACGTCGGCGCGGTCCGGCAGAATACGCAAGTACTCGGCCGGTGCCCTTGCCCACTGGAACAACCCCTACCCAATGAACCGGATCACCACGCGGATATCAATGTTCCATGGCGGATCAGACTCGCTATCATCGGTGGATGTGCTGGTGAAGGACGTTAGCGGGGCCGCGTCTGTCGAGACCCTGTGCTTTGCGCACTACGAGCACATGGACTTTTTGTGGGCCGATACAGTAGGCTCGCTGGTGTTCCCAAAGGTCCTTGGCGTACTGGGCGTGCACGAGTCACTGGTGTCGCCCCACCTGACAGATGGCTGTGCTGGCGCAGAAGCTGCCAGCGGCTTCCCTGCATCTGTGGAGGCGTCTGTGCCGTTGGACCCAAACCGGCACTTTCCAGAAGCACATGCGCATCCAAGAGGCTCCGTCGCCTCGCGCCGCCGGCTATCGTCGCTTTCCTCCGCTGGAATATTGCCCGAGTAACGTGATCCCAACCAAAAATTCACCCATCTCCCAACACTTTTCGGAGAATCCTGTAAAAACAACACAACGCACAGAAGCAGGCAAAAGGGTGGTTTTTTTAGAACGAATTGATCCCGTACTTCTCTAGGTCCACCTTGTCCTTTTTTTTCTGCTACATACTCGATCCAATACACTTGTATATAGGCCAGCTGGGAGGACTACGGTACAGATGGAGAGTTTGGGTGGAAAGCAGATCGATCGGCAAGCGCTATTTGGCGATAGCAACCACGGCAACGATGAGCCAGAGATCGACGTGCAGGACGTGGCAGCGTTCGAGGCCATGATGGAGTCGCGTATGGAGGTGGAGGAGAGTGACGCTGAATCCAATGCCACCGACGGCAACAGCGGTGACGGGCCCTCGAACAATGCACCAATGTTCCAGATGTTTGCGGGTGCTGGGCCGGTAAAAGTAGCGACCGAGTCGACCGAGCCAGAATATGTGGTCCCTGAGCGGCCGGCTGCGCTACTGGAGGAATCAGATTCGGAGGAGCACTGGAATAGGCTCTCCGCAGCTGTAGTGGACACCCAGACGGTCCTGGATACGTCCAAGATCCCACTGCCCGCACTACAGTACCCGAACCGCGTGATGCATATCAAAGTCGAGCCTGCCAAAGACCAGGGAGAAGGCGAGAAACGCACGGCCAAGACGGCGGGCCGGGAGCGGCGGCGGCTCCGGCGCCTGAAGAAGCAGGAGCAGCGGCCTGCCCCCTATATGCGCGTGCTTTCGCCGTATACGGGCGGCCTGCTCAAGGGCGAGATGCTGGCCGACGCCCTGCGCAGGGAGGAGCTCAAGGAGCTCCGCGCAGCCAAAAGAAGCGCGCAGAGAGGCCGGAGAGGCAGCAGTGGCTTCCGAGGCCGTGGACGCGGTATTGGAGCCCGGGCCTACTGAGCAAAAGGGAGGCATGCTACCAGCCACAGGGCATTCGTCTGTCTGTTGGTTTATTAAAGTTGAGACACACTCAAAGAGGCACAGCCGCAAGGGGGGGGTTTCTGGGCGCCGGGGCGGCCCTTCCTGCAGTGGCGCGCACAAAACGCAGCTTAGAGGTCATCGTCCTCCTCGGGCAGCGGCATCGAGGCCGCAGCAGCCATCTCCTGGTTGTACTGCGACATCAGGGCGCTGTCGACCTGCACCTCGGGCGGCTGCAGCGCCGGCGCCTCGACAAAGTCGAGATCGGGCTCACCCGTCAGCTTGCGAGCCAGCCACAGGAACGGCTTCTCAAAGTTGTAGTTGGACTTTGCCGAGATGTCGTAGTACTGCAGGTTCTTCTTCCGGTGGAAGGTGATGGTCTTCGCCTTGACCTTGCGCTCCTTGATGTCCACCTTGTTGCCGCACAGGACAATAGGGACGTTCTCGCACACACGCACCAGATCACGGTGCCAGTTGGGCACGTTCTTGTATGTGATACGCGAGGTCACATCGAACATGATGATGGCGCACTGGCCCTGGATGTAGTAGCCATCACGGAGCCCGCCAAACTTCTCCTGGCCCGCCGTGTCCCACGTGTTGAACACGATCTTGCCCTTGGTGGTCGTGAACAGCAGAGGATGCACCTCAACGCCGATCGTGGCTACACACACACACAAGCAAGCAAGGAATCACCCGTCATCCATGCCCAAGCGGTTCCGCCCGAAAAAAAAAGTTAGCAAACATTGACAGATTCGGCTTGTTGGACCAAGCAGCAAGCAGCAGTAGCGCAATTGTCATGGACGCCCCTACAATCGGCGTTGTACGCGATCGCACCCGGGCTGTGGCGGGCTGAGGCAATGGCAGCGCAGCCGCGTACAATGCCCACCAAAGGCCACTGGCATCAACACATAAAGTCAAGCCAGCTGGCATGCACGCGCCTATCTGTGCATTACGCATAGATACAGAGCTGTACGGCCCCTCAGCCATCCCGCGCCTCCCCTCCCACACAGCATCAAAGTCCGCTGGCTGCTGCGGCCCGCGCACAGAATCCAGATGTCCCCACGCATCACGAAAAAAGCGCACTTACCAATGTACTTCTTCTCGAACTCGCCCGACAGATGACGCTTGACAAAGGTCGTCTTGCCAGTGCCACCGTCACCGACAAGGACAAGCTTGAACTTGGGGATGTTCTGATCGGCCATCGCTGCTATTCCGAAATCCGGCTGAGTAACGGCTATGACGGGAGATACACACAGCAGGCAAAGATAGAGGTGGCAGGCGTGTCAGCATGTTGGTGTCGTCTCTGTGTAGCCGCAGATCCACCAGGCCCCCCGCCCGTGTGGCCTGCTGAGACAAAAGCGCTAGCCGTTGTTGTGGCTCGAATCTCCCAAATAAAAAAAAACCCAATCTGACGCGCGTGTAGATTCGACTAGGAAGCCCGTCCACAAGAAGCAGACACTAGTCTGCGTTGCTCCTCGAACCGCAGAAAGAGTCGGCTGCTGGCTTACCTTTTTTGGATGAATGTAAGGAAGAGAAAGAGGAAGTAGCGATTGCAGAGAAGAAGCAAGCTTGTTCCAGGTGTCCGAGAAGAAGAAGCCTCGGCAAACCCAAGCTGCCACTCCCCTCTCTCCCCCCAAACCGCAGTGAGGTAAACAACGAAGCGGCTCGCCAAAATTTTCCCGATGGTTCGCTGATTAGATCACCGGGCGCGGAGCCGAGGCTCGGGGGCACCGAGCATAAGCAAGCAGAGCCGTGGTGTTGTGTCACAACACTGCACGGTCACAGAGAAAGACAAGGGTTGCCAGCAGAGCTACTGCTGTGCAGGGGGGGTAGGCTCCTATATGCCCTAGGTTTCGCCTTACCGCCAGGCAGCGGCACCGCCCCCGTGCATTGGCCAGTGCAGTAGCAAGTTGGGCAGGGCAGCCGACTGCCGCTGTTCCTCCCTCTTCTCGACAGTACTTGTTAAATGCCGCCAGCCCTCTCTATCTACTACCTCGCCGCATTGGCAGCATATTGCATATACATCCAGATCGGGCTCGTATTAAGCTAGAAGCACAGATTATGGCCGCCATTAATCTCCAGGGAACAGGCACGGGCACGCTCTACCCAGCAGCGACCGATGTCGCCAAGGAGC